AGCATGTTAAAGGCGAATCCCGCGGCGCCCTTTCTAACGGCAAACGGAAAGATTTCCACGAATCTCGAGAATCCCTCGTGTTTCATCCCCGCCACCACGCTCTCTCTTCTTCTTTTCCTCCTCTTTACGGGGCGTCCGCTAATTAACGGGATCCGATCTACGCGATTCGAATAACGCGTATCCTCCAAAGAGCTTGTTACTAATCTTCCAAAATTAATCACCGTTGATGCATGCCCCTCTCTACCTACTCGATCCTTGATCGCGTTGCCCTTTAAAAGCTTCGAGATGTTCGGGCGCGAAGAGGATAAACGATGGTTGGAGGGGTTGAGTTTAAATTCTGCCCTGAGAGTAAAAGGCAACTCGGCGTGCGTCGAAAAGCAAATGACGAGAGTAAAGTTCTGTCATTAAAGTGTATAGGAATCGGCGTGATGAAGTTGCTCGAAACTAAAAGTAGAATTCAGGGAAGGGGATGGTTGGATCGAGGATAGAGATCGAGTAAAAGTCTTCGTATCCGGTTCATTTGGTAATGGTGTCACCATTTTAAGACACCCTTTGACTTTTAACGCTAATTTCGCAATTGCGATTTTAATTTTCGTAATTTTAATCTCACTCGCCCCGCATCCGTTCATTGTTATTTGAACGATTTTTATTTAAGAATTCAATTCTTTTTCCTTTTATTTCAATGGCGAATTATTAAACTCTCTTTCGTTGCTCTTGGGAATAATAGTATGATTAGATATATCTAACGAATATCTCGTGGAATTCTGCAGGATTATCTAAACTAGAATCTCCCAAAGCAATCTATTCTTCTTTCGGAGAAATAAACATATCGAAATAACCTATAATTATATGCAACAATCCTCTTAGTTAAATCACCCTTTCGTCCAAAATTTTTCAAAATTCACTGCGCAAAATTCGCAGAATAAACTAAATTAAAACTACCATCGCGTTAACCATTATCATAAACTCACAATCTCACCCGTTAATGCGCACGTCCGTCCGCGTGCCGATCTCGAAAATATATATAATTTCCCGCGTAAAAGCTCGATTGAAACTTGCCGATGGGTTGAGGGGCAGGGCACGTTTTCGAGAAGAGAACGTATCGCCGAAATTTCGGTCGAATTGTTAACAAGGAGTCTTGCCGTTCACGTCCGACCTAATTCGATTGTCAAGTGTCTTCGTCCGTTCCGATTTACCCCCGGTATCAACTGCGGGTTTCCGGCCAAACCGGAAAGGCAGCTTTTTGCCCACGGTATTAGCCCCGTGTTGACCATCGTGCGCTCGTGACTGCGCCGCTCCGTGACCGAGTATCCACGATGTGAATATCCAGGTATTTTCCAACGGTGGAAGATCACCCCCGTTTTATCCGATAAAACTCGATGAAGAAGTACGGGCGGAAGGCATCGACCAGGAGATAGTCGTCGTCGGTCGGTGCACCCCGTGGAAAATGAGATACCTTAATAAGACGCCGTCCCAACGCTGTAATTACGCGTTCCAACTTCCTTCTAGCTATTTTCCTGCTGCGAGTAATTAGAATACCGATAGTTTCGCCGTGAGCGTCCCACCCCCTCGCCAAACTCGCCTTTCTCTTTTTACTT